ACTGCTTGTAGAATTTTGTTCTTCTGTTGGGTTTCTGGAATCTTAACTATTATATGCCGAAGTGTAGATTTTTTTTTTTTATCACAGCTACTTGGGAGTCCTATATGCCTCACTTTTCTGTATGTCAAGTTCTTTTCCCCTGCTTGGGAAGTTTTCTGTCATTACTTCTGGGAACAGTTTTTCTATGTCATCTGCACTCTCTCCTGTTTCTTCATTGACTCCAGTCAGTCTTATATTACTCTTCTTTGCATCGTCTAGCAGCTGCTGAACTGATTTCTTGTGGTCCCTTACAATTGTAAGGAAATTTTTCTTTTCCTGGTTACTAATTGCAATCTTATCTTCTATATCTGAAATTCTGTCCTCACAATGGTTCATTCTGCTGCATAGACTTTCAAAGGAGTTTTTAATCTCCTGGAAATCTGTATCTGTTTTATGGATTCAATTTGATTCCTATGTTGGGATTCCATCATGTTCTTCAGCTGCTCTATTTTTTATCTGTGTCCTCTCTATATTTATTAATCATGTCTTGCACTATGGGCACAATCTCTGTTGTTATCTGAGAAATTATTTCTGATTTCATTTTTTCCAGATCCTCATTTGTTGCCAGTTCAGGGAGTCCACCGGGTTGAGTATCACAGTGTTCCATCTTGTTTCCCTTTGGGGTTGTTTTAGGTGATGTGGAAGTCTGTTTTTTTTTTTTTTTTTTTGGTACCGGGCATCGAACTCCAGTCCTTGCGCTTGGGCAGCAGGTGGCGAAACCACTGAGCTAAATCCCCAGCCCTGGAAGTCTGGTTTTGAAACTTGTTTACTGTGTCTTCTCATTTCAACACGGGAGGGGGGTGCTTTTGGCGCACCTGCGCGGCTCACCTCCTCTGTGCTAGCGGGGGTGGGGGGTAGGGGGTACGGCAGTCTGGAAGTCTCCTCTTGTGCCGGACTTTTTAAATATTAGTAAATAATTTATTTGAGCTGTCTACTAGCATATGATTGTCTAAAAATTCCTAGTTAATGTTAACCCCCTTAGACTTGTAAATACCAGGAGGCAAGGTAGTAGATCTTGTTGTTCATCATGCCTTTTTCTATAATCTTGTCCAAGTATCTGGGATGGACAAGTGGCTTTCAAAAGATGCTTATCAGATAATTCATGGAAGCTGGCCAGTTCAGTGCTCAGCAGATTCCGTGTGTCCCAATGTTAATTATCTTCTTTAGGATTTGGAAAGGGATTGTCTTTGAAAATTTCTTTTCATCCTCTTCTTTCTCTGGAGTGAAAACAAAGGATAGAAGAAAGGATGGGTTCTTCATCCCCAACTCAGCTGAGGTGATCACTCACCCCTCTGAGGCAGGAAGGCAGGAATCGGCTCAAGGTTCTCACATTTTAAAAGGAGTAATATGTGTGCTGCCTGTTTAGCACAACTGCTGAGATATTGGGAAGAACATATGGAAATCCTTGGAAAATGTATGTTTTACAACAAAGTAAAAAGAGCAAAACATCACTGTATCAATATTTATAGTAATTTAAAATGTTTATCAACTTATTTCAGAATAATTTTTGATTTATACAAAAGTTACAAAAAACTAGAGGTTCTGCATATTCTGTACCTAGTTTCTCTTATTGTGAATTCTTTTATAACCATGGTATGTTTGTCACAAATAGAGAACCATAGAGCTATGTTACTTTTAAATAAAATTCACACTTTATTCAGATTTCACTATTTTTCCCCATTATATTTAGTCAGTCTGTCTCTTTAGCTTCTCCTGGGCTGTAATAGTTTCTTAGGCTTTTCTTGTTTTTAATGACCTTGATAGATTCAAAATTTGATCAGATATGTTATAAAATGTTCCTCAAATTGGGTTCATTTTATGTTTTTCTCTAGGTTTATTGGTTGTGGGGAGAAAGACCATAGTGGTGAAGTTGTAACAGATTCTTAAATTCAAAAAACTTAAAAAGAACTCATATATTCAGAATCATATGTTTAATAGTTTTTAGTCTGGCATGTAAGAAACTTGGAAGTCATCACTCTTTCCTCAATAAGAAAAAAGCCGACAACTAATAATCAACTCTTCTTACATTCATTAGAAAACTGAGGTCACAGGCAAAATGCTGCCCCCACAAATGGGGAGAAAGATAGGAGGGTACAATCACAGCTTGCCAGAGCAGAGACCACTACTGACGATAGTAATGAAGGCATTACTGTGGGAAGGCCTGTACATCTCAGACTATTTAAGAAGTCTCCAGAGAAAACCAAAGACAACAGGGGAAACTAAACACCTTAACCCCTTGGCAGACAAGCATAAAGTTTCCACTAAGGCCTATTTATCTTAGTTCCTTTTATCCAGTACATCAGGTCTGGGTAGAAGCAAACAAGGTAACCTTTAGTAAGTGAATGGATACACAAACTATATGGTACATCCATATAATGGAATATTCAGTGATTAAAAAGTTATCAAGTTACAAAAAGACATAGAGGAACCTTTTATGCATGTTGCTAAGTGCAAGTCTGATAGGTTACAAAATGGTATGATTCTAACTGTATGATATTCTGGAAAAGATAAAACCAAAGACAATGAAAGGATCAATGGTTGCCAGGAATTGTGGTAGTGGTGGTGGGGAGGTGGGGATGAATTGGTGAAGAACAGGGTATTTTGAAGGCAGTGAAACTACTCTGTATGGTATGACAATGATAGATACATGTCACACATCTGTTTGCCATATAAACTCCATAGAATATACAGTACCCCATAGTACACTGTGAACTTTAACAATAATGTGTCAATACTGGCTCATCTGTTACAATAAAGAATACATTCATGCAGGATGTTTATAGTGGAATCTGTGTGTATTTCGGGGGGGGGGTTGTAGGTATATGGGAACTTTATACTTTCCTCTCAATTTTTCTTTCAGTCTAAAGCTGCTCTAAAAAAATAAAGCCTATTAAATTAAAAATAAAAAAGTATATTGTGAAAACTCACTTCCATCATTATTTACATCCATCCAGTTTCCCATTCCCACTAATTTAATCACTTTAGCTGAGTATTTTTCAAGAGTTCTCCAGAAATACTATCAAATAGAATATATATTATCATTTTTCTTCTTACAAAACAAAAAATTACTGGGCTGGGGATTTAGTTCAGTGGTTCTGCCACCTGCCTCACAAGTGCAAGGTCCTGAGTTCAATCCCTGGTACCAAAAAAAACCCCCCAAAACAAAAAATTACCATGTGATAATTTTCTGCCCTTTTCATTTAATAGTATGTCTTGGAGATCATTCCCTATCACTATAGAATAAGTTACCTTATTCTAATACCAATGCCTATATTTCACTATAAATTCTTGAAAGTGAATGGCTAGGTCTAAGAGTTTATGCCATTTTAATTTTGATAGATGTTACTAAATTGCCCTCTACAAGTTGAATGCATTAGAGTCCCAACAGCAATCACAATCTTACAATCATGGATTAACAAAATTTCTAAACTTAATTCTGCAGCTATACATTTTTTTTTTGGTACTAGGGATTGAACTTGGGACCTTGCGCTTGCGAGGCAGGCGATGGAACCACTGAGCTAAATCCCTGGCCCTGCACTTTTGAAGAGGAGGAGGAGACTCTCACACACAGGAGTTAACATCAACTTTCCATACACAAACAAGAATTTAAAGTTATATTACCCATATAATTCTTACCTAACTGAAATTCAGTCTTGGACTTGATGGCTGGAAGTTTACATTGCCACTCAAAAGTATTTGGGTAGGAACTCACTGGTTTAGAAAGCCCAGATAAAAGTTTGAGAATCAATTCCTCATCCCATGGGTTTTCAATAACAAAGTCTTAAAGGAATAAGAGCAAAAAAGAAAAATAAATTCAATGATTTTACCTGGGAAATTTTAGATAAAGCAAGTGGAGACATTCATTAAATAAGATTTATCCTTTATAGAGTGTTGATTCAAATAATAAAGGACTATTTTCAAAAGTCAAAATTGGTAGCTCTGCAGTCAATTATTTGCCATTTTAAAACTACAAGTTTAGATAAATATTCTGTGGTGACAAAAGAATCAAAGCCTCACTTCATTCACTTGGAACTGCTAGATCCTGCTTTAACACAATAATGGCTGCATGTCTTAATGGCACAATTGGATGTTACCGACTTCTACTGTGCTCAGACAGGCACATATTCCTCAATTGCTTTTCCACTTATCTTGACAAAACATTATATTACCTATGTGGAAATCTCATGTATGAGATTACTTTGGGAAACAATTGGAAGACAAAGATTTCTCTCCAATTTAGAGTTTTATAAAAATTCCATTAGTGGCAGTTATGAAAGACTAACCTAACATGGTTATCATGTATTTAACTGCTGAGCATGTGCAGAACACTGTTCTGAGTATTTCACATTTATTAACTTATTTGGTTCTTACAATGAGCATCTAAGGTAGGTACTAGCATAACCTTTACAGAAAAGGAAAGAGAAACACAGAAAATTGAAATAATCTTGGTCAAAACCACATGACTGCTTAAGGTGGGGCAGCTAGGATTCGAACCTAGCCTTATGACCTAGCCAGTATATCTCCAGAGTCTGTGCTCTCAACCAATATGCATTACTATGTACTAAGGGGCAGGGAAGTGTCTCTTTAACCTTGGGCCTTAATTGACTTTTCTTTAAAATGGGGAAAACTATTAGATTAAATGTCTGGCACATTGTAAGCCCTCAGATTCCAATTCCCTCTTCCAACACTTATCCTGATATCTTCTAAAATTAAAATAGATTGATTTCCCCTTTAAGTATGTTGCTACTGAATTGTATTGTAATGTAGTTATGAGTTTTGTCTGACCTTGTTTTCTACTCAATGACATTCAGGTCCCATTCTGAGTTCTTTCATGGCACAACTTTTCCCATGCTACTATCTTTATGGTAGACTCAGACTGAGCATCTGTGCATACCTGGAGCTTTGACATTCCTAAGCAAACCAGTCTGCATCCGTTCTGTGTGGAGTTCAGCAGTGACCACCGGTGGGGCCCCCATGACAGCAAGGTCAGTGTCTGTGAGTTTACAAGCCTCAAGGCCCCTCACTGCTTCCTGGGTGAGCACACCACCTGCAGCAGACTGGCTAGGATGGTGTAAGGATGCTGAAGATCTATCTGTTGGGAGTGCTTGTTCTGGGCTTTCCTCTTGAATTGGACTAGATGTGTGAAAAGCATAGAGAAAACAATAACTACATATGAGGAGAAGTCTAGGGGAATGGATCACAAGAAAGTCCCACAAAACAGTTTCCTTTTCATTTGAGGAATGACATTTAAAATGGCCACACAGGCCAAGAGTTGATTAAATCATTTTCTTTAGACAAATGTACAGTATAATAGGGATAAAAATAAAATCAAAGACATGATAGTACATTAGAATAAATAGGTGTGCATGATACACTGGGTATTCTCTAACAAGAAATGACAAGAGGAATGGGTTTATATCCCCAAGCTGAATATAAGCAGCAGTTCTATAATCAAGAGTGAATATTTAAATTCATGTTAAAAATGGCTTGTTTTATAACATTGAGACAAACAGAAAATGGCAACCATAATCCAACAAAGTAAAATTCTGATACAATTCCATGTGTGTGTACATGCACACATACACACACATGCACGCATGGAAATGTATGTATGACCATGCACACATACACAGAGTAGACCTACATTCATGGCTTTCATATTTGTGAATTTACCTATATGCTAAAATTTATTGGTAACTCCAAAATCAGTACTCATATGATTTTGGAGTCATTTGCTGACTTGCAGAGGGATTAAAACTTTGAGTCACTCAACATACTACCAGCTCAGGTTAAACACAGTGACACTATATTTTATTGCTCAGCTCTCAGATAGTCTCTTTTGTGGTATAATAACATTTTAAAAACTTGTACTCTTGTGCTGTTTGTTGATGATTTTACCGTTAAAATGCCCCCACATGTAGCGCTGAAGTGCCATCTAAATGTTCCAGAATGTGCAAGAAGGCCACGACATGCCTTATGGGGAAAATACTACTCTATTAGCTAAGCTTCATTCAGGCGTGAATTAGTCTTGATGGTTGTGAATTCAGTGTTAATGAATCAGGAATATATATTAAATAAGGTGTCTTCAAACAAAAATCTTATGACCAGAGGCCCACAGGACTGGGTATTCCTGCTAGAAACAATAGTTTAGTATTCACTAAGTCAGTGTTCACATGACTTCATAAAATACAACTATAGAGAACAATGAGAATTTATCGTATATTATTTCATCTCCACATACCCCTCATATCTATATCCATATATTCACAAATATATAAATATGATTTTTCATGAATACATTTATACATGTAATTTCATACACTATTTCTATTCTTATCATAAATGTTTTTCTTACTGTGAACTAAAAGAAATTTTTTTTAGTTTAGAAGAATTTTAGACTTTTATTATTAACTCAGTTCCAGCCTTCATTTGGATTTCACCAGTTATTTTCACTACTACCTTCTGTTCCAGGATCCAGTTCTGAATGCACATAGCATTTAGTTCTCACATCTCCTTATTCTTTTCTCACCTGTGAAAATTTCCTAGTCTTACTGTTATGGTCTGGATCTACAATGTCCTCCAAAAGGCTCATGTGTTCACAGGTGGTTTCTGGAAGGTGCTTGGATCATGAGGAGCCTTACTTCATCAGTGGTTACTTCAGTGATGGATTTATAAATTGATAGCATTATTGGGAAGTGATGGAAAGTTAGGAGGTGGGATCTAGTTGAAGAGAGTAGTTCATGGCAGGTATGTACTTGGGGACTATATATTGACCCCTTCCTCTCTGGGCTCTCTCTCTCTGTGTCTTTCTTTCTCTGCTTCCTGGTCACCATGAGGTAAGCAGCCTCCTCCTGCTCATGCTCCTGCCACAGTGATGTTTCTGCTTTGCCTCAGACCCAAAGTAATGGTGCCAGTGGACCATGTGCTTACCTAATTTCATAACACCCTGACAGTTTCAAGGAATACTGGGCAGGTATTTTGGGTTTCTTTGATATTTTTGTCATGGCTAAACTGGCACTAATGGTTTCTGGGAAGAACATCACAACCATGGGGTGCCCTCATTATATGACATTAGCATGTATTGTCATGACTCATACCCGGTGATGTTAAACTTGATCACTCAGAGAGGGTGTTATCTGCCAGGTTTCCTCATATTCCTACCATAATTTTAATGATTATACACCACCATTTAACCCAGTATATGTACAACTCTATGGTTCTCAGATATTGAACATATTCCCAATGTTTTATATTATAACAAAACAGATATCAGGGTATCTACACACACTGAAAAAAATTGTTTTCAAATCCTTGTACATTGCCACTAGTAACATGAGTGTCCAAATTACTGCTGATGCATAAATGTTTAATAAAGCTTTTTCCTTTCTCCATAAGAATCTGAGTTTGTTAACTTTCTGCTCCCTTCCCCTTGAAAACCTAAAAAGATAAAGAGTATCACTCTCTGAGCTTGATTTTCTGCTTATAACCCTCACATATAATCTCTATTTGGTGTAGAATTACAAATTCCTGGTCGGGAATCCATCGCTTAAAGCTTCCTTGAGTGTGATTACTTCCATAATGAGCTTGTCCTTTGTGCAAGCCCTAGGAACTAAATCCAGAGAGATATTGTAAGAGCCACTGATTCCCACAGGAATAAGTCTTTTAACCTAGAGAAATTTCTGCATCTGGCCTGTGTGAGTTTTGTTTCCCTGCAACTGAACTGTCACATGGAGATCAAAGATAATAGTTCCTTGGACAGAGTGTCCTGGCTAGCAATTGTGAGTTTTTATCTCTAATACTTCTAAGTTAATCTTATGCCAAGCATGGCTTAGGGAAGTCTTGTGAATCAAGTTTGGCTGGACTTAGGAAGACTCTTGCAGGCAGTACAGATCACCATGCTGTACTGTTATCAAAAACTACTCACTGAACTAAGACCCAACTAAAAAAATTCTTGTATAAAAGACAGGAATAGAATTTATATACAAATATAATAAACACATAGAAAGTAGTTAACTAATCAATAATTAAATTAATGAAAAATAAATAGATTTTACTTTTTAACTGAAAATTGTACCCATGTGCTTTTGATAGCAAGAGGCAGTACAGCATGGTGGTGAGAACAAGAGTTCTGAAATCAGAGAAATACAATTTAAATTCCAGTTTCATAAGTTAGCTCAATGATTTCAGATCAATAATTTATCCCTCTGAGATCTGATTTCCTCATCTGCAGCAGGGTAAAAGAGTAGTTTCCACTACTCAAGTTATTGTTAATTAAAAGATATAGTTCACAAAAAGCATAAGCATTGTATTTGGAATATAAAATTCAAAAGATGTTAAGTAGTATTTTTATCTGTTACATTTACCAGCCTATTCCAATATGATGAAATTTTACTTCTGCAAAGTATTAACGTATGGTTAATCTGCATTTTGTATTGAAGCAGGACTTAAAGAAAACCAAGCCTTTGGCAGTCCTCCCCCCCACCATCCCACCCCATTGCTGTAATTCCTTGTTCTGCTACAGATAAGGTAAACAACAAGATTCTTGCTAACAGAGTCCTGTGATGACCTGACTTCTTAGGAATCTGCCTTCCTTCAACACTGGCCTCTTCCCTGGTACTAATAGGGCAGACAGTTACATTTCTGTAAATAAAGTTTTTGCAACCTTTAAGAAACTGTATACCCTCAAGAGATACAGATGAGACTGGCAACTATATCCTGTAAACAAAGTTCATGATGCCCTGTTCTCACAAGATTCACAGGGAACAAAAGTGTCATCACGTGAGATGTGACTAACTTGCTTTTTGTTTGCTTCTGTAACCTCACTTGCCCACCCCATTCCCGTTTCATGACATTAGAAAGACTACTCCTCCCTTTTGATTAAATGTATAAAAGCTGGAACATTTCTTTGTTCAATGCTCTTCCTTTGGACAGCAGTGAATTGAGCTGGTGTATACCTTAAACCTGAAATAAATCCTTCTAAATCCCATTGTTCTCGCCTGTCTCTTGGAATTCTGCAACATTTCCAAGACTTATGGAAGGGTAAACACTATCTTCTATTAAAATAAAGTTTTAAAAGGAAGTTATAATTTCTCAATTACAATGAGTATACAAGGTGTGATCAAACTACAGAGTGAATGTTTAAAATTTAAAAATTTATTACAGTAAAAGACACATTGCCATTAATTCCTCTCAAAATGCTTCCCCTGGCTTTAAACATATGTATGCCATTATTCATTCCACTTTCTGAAGCAGTTCTGTAAGTCCTTTTTCTTTATGAGGTGTGATCAAAAACATAGTGAATGCAAGTTATAAAAGCTAAATCTTGGAAGTAGCCTATGTCTATCAACAGATGAACAGATAAAGAAATGTGGTATTTATATACAATGGAGTACAACTAAGCTATGAAGAAGGTAAATTTGAGTCATTTGACAGAAAATGGATATAACTTGAGACCATAATGTTAAGTAAAATAAACCAGGCATACAAACAGTACATAGATTTTCTTATATGAGAAACCCAAAGTATAAATAAAGAGCAAAATAAAAGATAATAGGAATCGGACAGGTCTTTTGCAAATGGGAAGGAGACCAAGAGGTGGAGGGAGGGGATATAAAAAAAATTAAAATGTGTTATGTAGATATACCAACTCCCCAGAATGAATGTAATCATTACGTATAGCAAAGGCATACTAATAAAAATAAAAATCAAAAAAGTACAGTGAATGCCACTGCTGAGGACCATCCAATGGAAAGGTAGACTCGAAAATATTATGGTGTGTTCTCATCTACCTTATTCACTGGATCTGGTACCACACAACTTGTTGCTCTTCCCCAGAGTCAAAATGACCATGAAAGGTAAATGTTTTTAATCAAATTCAGGATGTGGAGGCAGCCAAAACAGTACACCTAAAGACAATCATGAAAGAGGGCTTCCAGATATGCTTCACAAAGTGGCAAGAAAGATGGAGTAAGTATGTTTGAAGTGAAGGGGAACATTTTGAGGGGGACTACTGGCAATGTATCTTTTACTGTCATAAATTTTTAAACATTCACTGTATTTTTAATCAAATCTTGTAAAGCAGTAATTATGTGTTTGCTGAGTTCTGCAACTGGTCTTTGGTAAGAAGATTTGCAGTTCTCATCTTGAAATTAGTGGAACTCAGTTGCAGAAAATGTTCCACAGGGATTCTCTCTTACTGCAGCTGCTTCTGTCAATGTCCTAGTATATCAAGTGTCAGACTCTTCACAGAGCCTGTTTTTATATTTACAGACAGTACTTTCTGACTTAAAGCTGTGAATCAATAGAAACTTTTAATCCTTTAGATTGAATTTGGGTCTTCTATTACATATTAAAAACAAAGCTCAAATAATAATGAAGAGAATGACACAACACGCAATACCTGAACTTCTTCCCTTTTGAGGGCTGCACCATGTTTTCTTTACAGGAATCCATAGCCATAGGGGTGCACTGTGTTGCCACCACATTTTCTGAAGTATACAAAAAAATTAGAGACAGGCACATTACATGGATTTGTGTACACACATACCATCTGACACAGTTACAAAGCCTGAGATTCCTTTTTATACTGACTTCTATTATTAGAAGTTCAAAATAGTGTTCCATGGTAAAAAAAAATGCTATAAGATTGAAGAAATGTGGGGAAAAATTCACTTAAGAAAGTCTACATTAGTATACATGAGCATTTCAATGCTCTATATCTAATCCATAATGATTCTTTAAGAAAAAAGGGTTCCAGAGACAGGTAGGCCCACTGTGAACAGCTGACCAGGCAACAGGAGGTCATAGGCAAGGGTAGCAGGGCACACTCAGCTTCAGATTTTGATGATGAGGACATCGAGAGTGAAAGGTGCGATACTCCCAGAGAGCAGATTTTCATGTCTGTTAGTTTAACAAATTTTAATGAATCAGCAAGCATTTGTTGATTGAAATGATTTAAATATTGACAATACCTATCACTGCTTTCTTTAACTTAAAAAATATATTTATCTATTGATATTTGGGCAGAAATACAGACTAAACTTCTACCAAGTAATGTTAATACTACACACAGTAAAGTATGACTGGATTAAATTTTATCAGTTTCTCACTGAATAGGTATTAATACTTTTTTATTTTTGATACTGGGGATCGAACTCAGGACCTTGCACTTTCGAGGCAGGCAGTGGCACCACTGAGCTAAATCCCCAGCCCATTAATACTTTTAGTACTAGAACATTAGCTTCTGTTTATACAACCTGAGTGGCAAATACTATATGAACAGCCAATATTGACTTTAGTTTTCCTCAGTGGAAAAGCTTTAAATATTTTTATTCAAGTGGCAGGCTTATGATGACATTTAACCATAGTTCAAGTTTCAATTAAATTCTCCTGTAAGATTTAGAAAAGAAATATAACATATTGGGTTAGTACTCTAAGAAAATATCCTTTTTCCATAGTCAAAACATTTAGATATACATACAGGCTGATAATTTTATTACAAGATGCTTCCATCTAGTGAAGTGATATTCTTTGGTTATTACATTATTGCTTTGGTGAACAACTTATTTTTTAAAAAAGTTCCAACAGGGATATAATTTGGCTGATTAAGTAGTAGTCATCAAGATGGTACAGTGGTCCCAGATCTCACTGTATATACTTTGTAGGATGGTAATTACTGCCTAATAATTATCTGTGCTCAATGCAATGTCACATACTGGGGATCAGTTTAGATAAAGATCTTTTATATAGAGGTGCTATATTTGGGATGGCATGGAAATAAGAACTGTTTATGAGTTTTACCATTATGCTCTTTAAGTCAGATCACTAAGAAAAAAGAAAGAAAAATTATGATTTTCTGTGTGTAGTACACTTGCCTACATGTCTAAGATAAAATTTGTGGACATGTGAAGGACTAAATTTGGGTATTTGTTATTTATTAAATTAGAAAATATATATTATTTGTAATAGTCAAATAATTTAATCTGTAGTGGCACTGTTTTAAAAACATAATGTAAACACATTCCTATATAAATGAGTTGGATTTTGTATATTTGCCTTTAAATGTTCCTATAGGTTTCCCTCTTTCTACCTAAATTATTAAAATTTTAAATACAGACTTTATGAAGATAGTATACCAAAGAAAACAAAGCAATAAATTTTAAGCTTCTTTATAATTTTCAAGAAGAGAACTCTAACATGCATTAAAATATAGAGGTTCATAGAAGACAGATGCTTTAACAGTGTAATACACACCTTTATCTTCTAGAATGTGCACTGGATCTGCTGGAAGTTTGTGGAACGGTGTAGATGCAAGCCGGGCAGCAGATGTGAAGTCTCCTATGCTCTTAGGACTGGGTGCCAGGGTTTTGTTGTAGCGAATACCCCAGACTGTTGAATCATCCAAAAACTCTTCAGTGTGAGGCTGAGGCACTTCCTGTAACAGAGGACGAACACAAAGCAGAAACTCTCCTGTTTTGTCCATGAAATTTAACACATTAACATCTTAAGATTAAGCTGGGAATAGCAGTGGAGGCCAGTAGTCCCAGCTATTCTGGAGGCCGAGAGGCACGAGGTTCGCTTGAGCCCAGGAGTTCAGAACCAGCCTGGGTGACGTAGTGAGACCCTGTCTCAAAAAAACCAAACCAGAAAAACACTTTCAAGAATTTAAAAAGAATGTGGAATTAAAATAAAGAAAAAGAAAAAAATATATCTCAGCCTTTCATCTTTAATACAGCTCAGTGGAGCCACATTGCAACAAGGGTCACATTTTTGGTTTTGGGTTTCTACAGTTTTCTTTAAATTTGAAAAAAAAAGGTCTAGATTTATAGAAGGGTTACAAAGATAGTACAGAACTCTAATATCCTTTACTAGGCTTCCTCTAAAGTCAACCTCATTTACAACTTTGTACATTTGTAAAAACAAACAATACTAGTAACTATAAGCTTTATATGAATTAATCCTTCTCATTACATTTGGGGGATACATGCTATTAACATGACTTATTACTTACTGGTGAGGTCAACTCCACCATTGATTAGATGTCTGTAGTTTCCTCACTGTAAACTATTTTTCTCCTTCCTTACTCTATTTGTTAGAAACAAATCACCAAGTCTTGCCTACACACAAATGAAGGTGAATTAAACTCCACCTTCTAGAGGGACATCATCAAACAATTCATGGATAAATGTTAAAACACCATAGTAATTATAATTTTGGTGACAATTGGAAGCTATGCAAATACTTTGCTTGTTCGTAACATTTTACTTACTAATGTCAGTATTCATCCATGTATCTCATTTGCATAATTAGTACTATGGGATTCTAATGGTGATTTTTTACTTATTCCTTCTACATCATTTGGAATTCTTCTATAAGGAAGATTTATTCTTTTCTCCACATTTATTTATGTCAGTATGGAAATTAATTTTATTTCTTGGGTTAAAATCCAATACTCCTTTATTCTTATTTTCTTGTTCAATTTGTTCCAATTTCAGTTATTGTCTTCTTCACATTTGCTCCTGTGTTCTTTTTGCTATGCTTGCTACGCTCAATTTTTTTTTTTAGAAAAAAATAAAATTCAAAAATACTTCCTTAATATCTGATACAAGATGCTCTAGGCTTTTTTGGTTTTTTTTTAATAATGCCCCTAGAATCCAGCATTCCTCCATGAACATAATTATAGGTCAAGTTTTGGAGTCTGTGAGCAAAGACAGAAACTGCTGAGTCAACACCATACTTGATATACCTCTTCAGTTGTCTTTAAAATGCCACACAAGATTTTTATATATTCTGCATTGTCTTCATAAAACCTACCATCTCTTCCAAGATTGGAAGACAAACTGGCTGGTTGTTTCTTTAGGTAGATTCAGGATAAGCACTGCTTTAAATTCAGCGTTACATATATAGAAAAAGCAGTGTAGTTTTTTGGTAGAAGCATTTATAGTTGAATAGTTCAGAAAAATGCACCTTCAAAGTGACGGCACAATATCTGAAATCCAGTCCATTACTTGGGAAATTTTTAAGATCAAACAGTTCTGAGAAGAATTAAGAGAGCTGGGCAACAGTTTATTCCAAAGAATCCACCATGGGATTAAAAGCAGGGAGCAGGGTTCAGCAGTTTCTCAGCAAGAGTGATTGATGATAATAGCACTTCTCCCTGGTCCATCACAGCCAGAGGGCCAGGCGGTAGATGGAGAGAAAGCACACCATGGGGAATACTCACAGCCTGGATGGAAGCCAAACATGGGCTGAACACAATGGCTGCTATAGTAGAAGACTGTTGTGGGTTAGCAAATGGGTGGAACTTGTTTGCTGAGATATGCTGATGATGGGCCATTTTAATTTGATTCACATTTGCTGGGTTTCTCATTATTACTCCACTGTTGGCCTTGCTTCCTAAGTCTAGGAATAGCGCATATGCCTGGTGGTTCCTCCTAGCTAAAAGGAAGGCTCTTTGAGGGCATAAATCATATCTAGTTTGTCTGACACATAATAGACATTCAAATGATTGTTGAATAATGTTCTAAAAGACACATTTTTCAGATAACATTGTATTTTGCAGCCCAGTTTTATATCATCATACTATTTGATTGGTATAATCACTTGGAAATAAAGAAGAAAGGGTGGCAAGACCCATTTCACAGATGAAATAAAGATTTGCTTACATTTGGTTTTGAAGGAAATGCACTGATAGAGCGTTCTCCAAAGGTCCTGGCTCCTACGGGCTTATTTTTAGGCTGTGGTAATCTAAGGAAAGATTTGCAAAATTATAAATATTAGAATATATTAAATAAATGCTACCACTTAAGTGTTACAAAAATTCCCCACTTATCCTATTTAATAAGTTAATAGTTTTACAGACTCTTTAGTTTTACAACAGTTCTAGCAAAAAAGTATAAACTGAATTAACTATGTAAATATAGTTGACTTATTTACTGAAGTGAGGATAGAAAATATAATTCCTGTTACACTGAGTTCCTGACATTAGGAGCAAAAGAATTAGGGGCATGTCCGGTAAAATGTCACATACTATTTTATTTCTTATTCCTAGTGTCTAGCCTAGTTGTGGATCTCCTCTTGGCAAGCTGGCCATACCTTCTTTCTACTTCAGTATGAATTTCTTTTATTCTATACCTGTAATTCACACTAACACATCTCCTTCCATGGATAAACCTGGTAACAGAATTCCTAGAGCTACTGTACTCTACCCTGGCATATGGCTCTCTAATGTAATGGCCCTCCACCTTAAAACATATTCTCTCTGTGGCATTATTCAACATAAGGGACTTCTTTTTCTACTTTATTAGTAGTACAAATATGAAGAGCACATATTGGATACTCGTACTGGTAGATTCATCCACATCTAATATAATTTCAAATTCACCAACGCTGTCAGTTCTCTGACAACTTATAATTAACCACACTGCTTTCCCTTTTCAATTATGCTTTACTTGGGAGGTCTGCTCTCTTGGAACTCTTGCATAGGAATACAGACTGAGAGAACTTTGGCAACAAGCTCTGGTCATGTGGTCAAAAGCTCACAAGTGGCAGAGCTAGGACTAGAACCTAGACCATGTGATCCTTCTCCACCGCACTGCCTTGAGTTCTGCAGAGACTTCTGTAGTGTGCCTTGGTACTGTGACAACATAAATGTCCCTTCTAATGTTATTTTAACTATGTTTCTTTACCCATAATTTTCTTTGTTTCCATCTTCAAAAATAGGAAAACCAGACGGCAAAGAAATCTTATTGACTCCCCAAGCTCCAGAGGAATTGGCATTTTCTACGAGAAAAAAAATAGCATTTCATTATTGTCCCAGGAAAAAAACACTATCCTTTATGTTAAATTTCAACTACAAATAAGATAAGGAAATAACAGTTTCTAGAGAAGAACTGAGATCAGTTTTTAAAATACTAGTGTGACAAGTCACTTTGTAGTGAGATGAAGTGACTTAACCATGGTCCATGAGTCTAGCACTCAGGAACCCAGAGTTCTCATCATTTATAAAGAACAGTGTTCACCATTCTATGACTATTGTCACTTGACTTTCTTAAACACTCTCAATGGTTTTGTTTTTCATTTTAAGAAAAAACATTAATCTTTTAGCTTTATATTTCTAGTCCTCCCAAGTCTAACTGGATCTCACTTACCTTTTTTATAATATCCAGTTAACAGCATGAATCCCCTAATTCTAGACAAGTGGACTGGATGCTGGCCTCCAACACTTCACTGGCCACCTCTCTATCAGGAAGGGCTCCACATATACTTTGAGTACTCGGGCCTTCTGCACTATTCCTACTTATGGGGATTTTTTAACACTTAACTGTAATAATAGTAATAAAACAAGAAAAGCCAAATCTATCATACACATTGTAACCATGTCATACTCTGTCATATTTTTATTTCATGCATCCTTTGCCTTTACATGATGGGCTGATCAAGGGCACAGCCACAATCTTATATAATCCTTCATAATGCCTGTGGAAACCTCTCATAATGCTATGTACTCAGTAGCTTTTAAATAATGAATAATTACTTTGAAACTGGGCTTCAAATGCATCTTCATTTTGATCTAGAGATGGCCATTCATTTTTGTCATCAGAAATATCAGGAAGTGTAGGCACCTGAAACATATTCATGATGAAACCTTAAGAACAACAAAAAAATACTTGTCAGCAGGTGGAAAAACAGGGTCCATTAATTTTTTGCATTCACTACACGGCTAACAAAATGCTTTACCTAATGCTTCTTTTGTGTGCACCGTGGGTGATGGCTGCACTTTGGATGGTGTTGCCTGAACCATTCCAAGTGATGTGTTTGGAGTAGTGTGAAAAGAACTTGTGTTAGTGACCTTATGTGTTTCATATCCTGGTAAAGGAATGGGACAAAACATAGTATCAACAGCCAAATCAGAACACGTTAGAAGGGACACAATTGCAGTGATTTATTAAATTCTATTTGCCATTGTCAATAATTATCACAAAAGATTTTCATTATCATATTTCGACTTATATTTGTAAGAGTACTAGGAAGTACGGGAAGGCAAGATTTATCGTTTTGCAGAAAAGCAAATGAAGGTTCAAAGAGGATTACGTGTTTGGTCTGAGCATACCCCAACACAGCAGTTTTGTTATCAATAACATCCTTAGTTTCACTGGATCCTAAGTACTACATGCTCATAATCACAGTGTACATCTTTTCTCCCCTCCCATATTATAAATCTTAAGACCACTTTCCATCTCAGCTGGAGTCAGACACTGGTATATAAGGCCCTGCACACCCTGGTCTTGTTTGCGCAGGTCTTACCTTCTTCCTCCTTCTTCCCCAGGTCACTTTGCAGCCCTGGCCTCTGCTGTACTTAGAACACACCAGGCATATTCCTGAGTTAGGGCTCTGTACTTGCTGCCCCTCTTCATGAAGCAGGTTTCCCAAGGTAGCATGCGCTCCTAAGGTCCTTTCTCCAAATATCACCTTCTTTTCAATATCTTTACTGCTCACCTTCTCCGAAATTTCAACACTCCCATCTCAAGAATATTTTCTTTTGGTAAGGATTTTTATCCTTTTTGTTCATGACTACGTCTCTAACTACTTAGACTGGCACCTAGAGCGCAGTCAAGAAGACTTGGTTCCATGAATGAGTCTCCAGCAGCTTCAAATAGCTCTGTTCTTGAACTGCCAGGGGAAAGGATACCACATTCCGGGGGTAGGAATACTTCCCAAACTGTATCTTATGTAATGTACAAAACGTATGTCCTCCATAAATGCCTCCATTGAAGTACTAAACAGCAGTATAACACCGCTGCTAATGAACCTTTGTATCACCATTTCCACCTATTATAGCAGAGATGGCTGGTTTCCATTAGAAATGGTCTGGGCTATCAACTGGAGACTGGATAAAGAAATGTGGGTTTTTAATAAAATGGAGTACTACTCAGCCATAAAAAATGAGAAATTAGAGACATTTATTGCTAAATGGATGCAATATTGAGGCAATACTCTTAACTGAAATAAATAGGACACACGTGTAAATACTGAATAGTTTCTCTAGTGTGAGAAACCGAAAGTGTAAATAAGGACTAACAGGTATAACAGATAATGTGAAAGAGGAAGAAAAGGGGCAAAGGGGAAGGGGAAGTGGGAGGGGTAGGGGAAAGGAAAGAAG